CTTAGGGCCTTGGTAATTTGCTGAGGCTGGCCTTGAACTTGCTATCCTCCTGCTTCAGCCTCATGAGTTGCTGGGATTACAGGTGTGTGCCAACGTGCCTGACAATGAGTTGTTTTGTTTGTTTGTTTTGTTTTGTTTTTCAAATAGGAAGTGTAACCTTTTCTCCTGCCAGGGCTCTTTTTTCTTCAGCTTTTACATACAGTATGTTGCCTCTGATGGGTAGATGCATCACCCCATGCTCCACCACCAAGAATGGCATCAGTCTCCTCTGCCTACTTGGCTAGGGTTGGCTGGATACTTTGAAATTAACATGGCCTGAAGGAAAAAGCATAAGATGAAGAAGCACAGCCAAGTCACTATAATAACTGTACAAATGGAAGATGCTGCAGATTATAAAACACATCCAAAAATCAGATGTGTTCATTTGTGAAGGGAGAGAGGGACATCTTAGAATTGATGGAGTTTTTCAATCCAGCATCAATAACCTTGGAGTAGCAAGTATGTCCCAGACTAGCAAAAGCTTGCCAGTCCACCTTAGATTTTGAGGCTATCATGTGTTTTCATTATTTTCATTTTCTTACAAGTATTTAGTGAGAAGGAAAGAGAGATTCTATGGCTACCAAGATGTCATATTAAGCCAGATGACTGGAAATTTTGGTTTTAATTCTCTTCAGTCACACTCTTCTCCAATAACTAACTCCTTACTCCTCTAGTTTCAGTGCATGGCAATATATATGTGAAACAAGTAGAAAAACCAACCAGAAGATAGTCTAATGACCAAATAGCAATTTGTTATTAGGTTTCATATTTGTGACTCAGCCTATGTATTTGGTACTAAAACATCACCTAGCTGGGTGTGGTGGTGCAAACCTGTAATCCCAGTGGCTCAGAAGGCTGAGACAGGAGGATCACAAATTCAAAGCCAGCCTCAGCAATGGTGAGGCACTAAACAATTCAGTGAGACCTTGTCTCTAAATAAAATAAAAAATAGGGCTGAGGATGTGGCTCAGTGGTCGAGTGCCCGAGTTCAATCCCCAGTACCAAAAAAAAAAAAAAGAAAGAAAAAAATCAACCTTAATCTGATTTTCAGAATTATAGCTTCTTCAACAAATAATAGAGCTACCCTATGTGTTAGGAGCCAATTTGGACACTGGGGACAGCAGACTCAAGTTAATGAAACTGTCTTTATTAAGTGTTCTAGTTGGGAAATATATACAATGTACAAAGACAGATTATGTCAGGAAGCATATCACTTAGATTTCAACATATCTCTAAGATGTAATAATAATCCCCCAAATCTTAGTGACTTACAACTACATCTACTTCTTGCTCATGTAATTTGAGGGTGTCAGAATGAATGACTCAGCACCATATGCCTTCTGGCTCCAGGCTTATCCAGTTCATTGCCACTATAAAAGCTTCTGCTCAGATGTGTTCTTTAGTTTCACTAGCCAAAGCAGGGTTCAGGATGGGATGCAATATCCTTTGTAGGGAACAGTCAATGATTGGGAACAGTAATATAACCAACTACAAGATTAGGTGACATGGAGAAAATGAAGGAGGGAAGGAGAATAAGGGGAACGTGGTATGTGAGGGCAATGGGGGTGGAGAAACAGGGAAAATGACAGGCTTAAAGGAGGAATTTGTGGGTTCTATTTTGCTATTGGATCATGATGCATAGTCAAGACTGCTAGCTATTTACCAAAGACCCATTATTACCTCATCTTTTTAGGTACGTTTCCCTGCCACTGTTAAAATGAACAGTGGCTATGCAACTGAATTCCAGCCAATGGAATGAGAACACAAGTGGTAAGTGCCATGCCACCTGGAATGGACCTAGGTTCTTGGGCACAAAATGAAGTTAGCCTGGGTCCTCATAGGGAAAAGGGACATCTGTTTAGGACTGTTAGTATACCTAAGACACACTGCACTTTGGGTCTATCATTAACAGCAGTTTAGAGTATCCTAATACATCATGCTTCCTCCAAAAATATCCTTACCTGGCAAATTTATTTACAGAAATTTAACAAGAGGAAAAGTTAGAATGGTGACTGGATATGTTCAGGATTTCCAATTCCCAAACTGCTTATCAAGTAACAGTGATGTTAACTGCTAAAAATGTATAATGAACAGATTAGGACAACTAAGGCCAAGGCCATACTCTTATAATAAAAGTGGGTGAAGTGCCAAAGTGAAGGCCAGGGTTTTATGATATGTACTTACCTGGTAGCAACATCATTTATGGTGATGTTGACTTTAGTGCTCTCACCTGGGAGAGACATGTGGACACGAGGAACAGGGTATGTTAGCAAATATGAATTATGAGGGTGTTTTCAGGTATGTGTAAGATTATATGGAGGAAAATAATAAGGAAATCCTCATTAAAAAGCAAATAGACTGAAATAATCAGAGTGGTGATAAGTTTGCAACAACCATGCCTGTATTTAGAATTTACCAGATGTGAGAAGTGAAGAGGCAGTTTTTGAGGGTAGTGTGTGGATAGGTAGTAGGGAAGAGATGGTTTTCCCCTTCTGACCGAAAGCACCCTCAGATTCCACCATGTTTTTGCAATGTTTGCATTTTTTTCAACAAGACAGCAGACTTGCCACATAGTAATTTGTTCTAGTATTTTTTTTCTCCAATTCTTTTTTTTTCCTTCCAGTACTGGGGATGGAACCCAGGGCCCTGCACATTCCCAGCCCTTTTTATTTTCTAACAGCGTCTCACTAAGTTATTTAAGCTGGCCTGCCATAATCTCCCAAGTCACTGAGATTACAGGTGTGCACCTATACTATAATCACTATACTCAGTTCGTTTCTCCAATTCTTTTTGATGTTTTCACATGATTTGTGAAAATATTTGCTGACAAAAGAATGTATTTTGGGTTGGGGTTATGGCTCAGCGGTAGACCACTCGCCTTGCACGTGCAAGGCCCTGGGTTTGATCCTCAACACCACATAAAATACATAAATATAATAAAGTTAAAAAAATGTATTTACACTTTATAGCATGACATTTTACATCTATTCAACCTGTTACCTTTTGTACTTACTGTTGTAAAATATATATGAAATTTACTATTTTTAAACAGTTACTATTAAGTATATTCACAATATTGTGCAAGCATTATAACTATCCATAGCCAGAACTTTTTATCAATCCATACTAAACTGTTTCATCCTCAATACAAATTCCTGGTAACCTCTATTTCCTGTCTCTATGAATTAGGCTAAGTACCTCATGTAAGTAGATTCATACACTATTTATCCTTGTGTCTGGCTTATTTAATTTCACTGACTTTAATATGGGGGGAAAGTGTACACTCATACATTGTTGATGGGACTACAAATGAGTGCAATGACTCTGAAAAGCAGTATGAAGATTCCTCAAAAAACTAGGAATGGAAGCACCATAAGACCCAGCTTGGACATATACCACTTCTTGGTTTATAACCAAAAGATGTAAAATCCTATGCTACGGGGGATGCAGCCACTTCAATGTTTATAGCAACACAATTCACAATAACTGAGCTATGGTCCCCTTCAACACATGAATGAATAAAGAATATGTGGTATATATACACAATGGAGTATTACTCAGCCATAAAAAATGAAATTATGGCGTTTTCTGGTAAATGGATAGCTAAGAAAAATAAACCAGACCCAAAAAGTCAAAGGTCCAATGTTTTCCCTGATATATAGAAGCTAGTCCAAACTAAGGGGGCAGGGGAGAAAATGGGGGGGGGGAGATTCCATCAAAAGAGGATCAGTGGAATAGAGGAAGAGGATTGAAGGGGAGGAAGGAGGGACTTGATAAGGGAAGAACAATGGAATGAATCTGACCTAACTTTCTTATGTACACATATGAACATACCACAGTGAATCTCACAATTATGTATACCAAGGACCCTAATTTAAAAAATCATAGCAGAAAGATCACTAGAGGGAAGGGAACGGGTAGGGAGGACAGAGAGAGGGAAGTACTGGGAACTAAATTAGAGCAAATTCTATTCCATATTTTTATAAATGAATCCTAATGTAAAAAAAAGAACCAATATAAAAGTGAAAAAAAACTGAAAAAAAAAGAATTGCATCCCTTTTAAAGACTAAATATTCCATTGTATGTATGTATAATAGTTTTTATCTGCTGACAGACATTATACCTTTTGACTTATATTTATATGAGTTATGATGTACTGAACACTGATGTCCAAGTATGAGATTCTCTTTTAATTCTTCTGGGAATATATACCCAAAGTGGAATAGGTATAGCATATAATAATTTGTACTGTTCTCCACAGAAGCTGCACCATTTTACAGTCCCAACAGCAATACACAAGGTTTCTAGTTTCTCCATATCCTCACTAACACTATTTTCCCTTTTATAAAAAACTAGCCACCCTTATGGGTATGAAGTAGTGTTTTCTTCTATAACTACATCAGGTGTTTCTCAATGCTAAATACCTTAACTACTAATATTAAGAAATCTATAGGTGTCTAAATTGTTTACTATTAACATACAGAAATTCTGAAATAACAGGAATGTAGAGCAAAGAAAACTGCTATGTATTCCAAGGAGGGTGTCCTTTTGTCTCCATGTCCTGTTTACAATATAGCCTCTCTTGTTGCCTGGAATGGCCTTTGGGACTTTGTTTTTTTTTTTTGAGAGAGAGAGAATTTTTTAATATTTATTTTTTTTAGTTTTCGGTGGACACAACATCTTTATTTTTTATGTGGTGCTGAGGATTGAACCCAGTGCCCTGCGCATGCCAGGCGAGCGCGCTACCTCTTGAGTTGTAGAAAAAGCCCCAGAAATTTAAACCTCCCTTCTTTACTGAGCCAAGTGTAAGTGCAATCCTTCCAAACCTTAAAAAAAATCAGTGGTTTTCCTCCCAATAACACTATTAATAATTGTAGGGGCTCTTTTTCAAGTCTAACAAGTTCACATATTAATGGAATGCAATGCGTTAAGTAAAATAAAATTTGAGGCTTTGACAGTAATTACTGTAGTTATTTAACTTTATTTTAAATACGAAAACCGTAAAACATAGTATTTATGCAAACACCTGAGGACTGTTCAAATGAGCACAGAATCTTCATACAAACAATCTGAAAGAAGATCAAGTTTAAGGAAGAATCTAGTCTTATAAGGAGTAACAGATGAAACAATCCTTTAAATAAGTGCATTCTTATCTGAAGTAGATTTGGTTTTCTAAAAAGAAAATGTACATTCTTGCCCTGGTGAATATTTTATTGGCATTTATAGGAAATACTTCTATAACTGATTCTCATAGCTTATAAACATTATACCAAAATTATGCAAAAATAACAATAAACATATAGCACCGTTTCCCTTTGAAAGTTCTAACTGATAAAATAAAGTCCAAAACAATAAGTCAGTACTAATGTATCTTTCAAAATGTAGCAGAATGGCTCAGAACTAATCAAATTAATTAGAAACATTGCATAGGACTGAAAACTTCCCTGTATGGAAACCAATCTATGGATTGTTTCTTATCACCTGAAGAGTAAGCTAGGAGGTACTGGTGATAGAAAATGATGCACATATTTTTTAAGGAATAAAAACATCTAACTATATACATAATTCATAATCACTCTGTGGCAGTGCAAAGTGCCATATTAAATTCAAAAAGAAAACATTTACTTATGTATACCTATAGGTATACAATAGTATATAAATATGGTAAAGTATCCACGAGGAATAAACACATACAATAAAATATATATCTTTTAACATTTGGACACAGGTATTTTGATAAAGAGATGTGAGAAATGAATGAGTACTTAATGTCCAAGCTTAGCAAAAATATATAAAGTTTTAAAATAACAGGTATTTATTGAAAGAAATTTAATCTGACTCCATTTAAACCACACTTGTAGTATAAACATCTGCACAAAATGATCATTCTATCTATCCTATTGTTATTATCAAAAACTGATAAGAACACTTTATGAAGCTTATAAGCTTTTTTTAATCTTTAAATATGAAGAAGTACCACACTGAGAGAGCTAATAACAGAAAGGAAAATAATTTATATGGCTATTCCCTTTCTAGAAACTGATAAAACATGAACAGAACACTGCAGAATCAGACCAAAATATTGAGGAAGATATGATAGCTACAGGTAGGTACATCTCTTCTGAGAAAAAATTCTTATGGATTTAATCTATGACATTTTCCCCTTTGGGATTTAGCTGTTTTGGTTCTACATATAAAGATTAAACAAAATCAAAGGTTTTTCTCTGTTTACTGAATGGAGTATATTTGTAAACTACACAAAGAAAGTAACAAAAATACAAAGAATGAGCTGCCAATTTGGGTATGTTAATGCTCTCATGTTAAATGGTTTTTAAAATAGACTAGACTATTAATGTAATTCTGAAAGAACATTTTGAAGAAATTTCTACAAAACAAAACTGCTCAAAGAATACTTTTAAAATTAAAATGTTATCAGTACACCTGAGAAATTTTGTCAATACACATTTTTTTCAATCATATTTTCCTTCTTTAAGTTTTTCAATGTAGTAACATAGCTTTAATGCTGGTCCCAGCTTCAGCCCCATATACTTCATCATCACATCACTCTTCAGTAGCAGCAGAGCCTTCCCATCAATTTCCTATAGAGAGAAAAAAATGATAAAATTAATTTTTTAATATTTTGTCGTTATTTATACATGTAAAACAGAGCAGCTGTACATTCCAGATATATATTCTCTGAATATGCATTTCCTGAAAACTATTAAAAATAGAATTTGTACAGTGAAACGTTATTTGATGATTTGTAAATTTACTTCAAATTTTAAGAAAAAAGAAATTTACCCTAGTATCTTTGGTTAGTGTCCTAAACATCATCTGATTTTAAATACTGTGCTGAGTAAAATACGAGTATGACAAAGGGTCAAAAATTATAAATGGTAATTTCAGACAGTCATTAACTTTCTGAGAAGAGCTAGGACTATGTCAACATCAATGCAAACTGTAAATGTGCCATACATTATTATCTTTAGGTCGAATGCTAACCACTTAGTTGTCTAAAGTTAAGTTAGATGCCCAAACTAATTACCAATTTTCTTATAATATTAAAAAGACTATACCAGATTATTAGAGTACTAATTTTATTTGGAAGAAAAAACTATAAAAATATTACTTAATAGTCACAAGGCATCCTCCTAAAATTCTTTATTACCTTAATTAACCAATTTATGCTATGGAAGTATATTATTTGGTAGTCATGAGATCCTGTTTAAAATAAAGGCATATTTAATCTTATATAGTTGCTGGATTTATTGGGTATCATAGTAAGAAGGCCACCCTGTTACAGATTGTAGTCGCCCCCTCCTACTCATGGTCCTAGGGCTGAGCAGGGGGTGGGGAGGATCCTTGTATATGTCTTCACAAAAAGGGCGGTCCACCTGAAAGTGGCAATGCGGAATCATCCTCTTGAGAATGTGAGGCTGTTTAGAATATTAGGCACTTGGATACCCATTTAAAGAAAGACAATTAACCTACCATTTAAGGATCTAATGTTGGGCAAAATAACTTTTCTCTTAAATGGAAAAATCAGTTGATAGGGTTCCCCCACCATCCACACAACTCAGTATCCAACTGAAAGGCCTGCACAGAGGTCAGTCAAAGGCATAATGGCAGCAGGAAAACCGGATCAAAAGATACATTACATGTTGCCTGAAGAGGTCGGCGAGGGGGCCTGATATCTGAGGATCTGTATGTTTCATAAACTGTATCACTTCATCCACAGACCAGGTTGAAGGGTCCTTAGAGAAGCCTTGATTCAGGACACTGGGGTCAGGTACAGCTATATAACTTGGAGCTTCAATGGGGGGAAAAAAAACAAATCATACTTGACCTGATCATTATACTGAAAGAAGAGATGTTAGGAAGGGAGTAATGGTCTCATTTCTGGAACCTTCACTTACGTACCCAAGCAAGGACTCAAGACTCCAACTGTAAAATCTAGTAAAAGCCTACATTAAAGATGATCAAAACAGCTGCATAAGAGCATCCCATCTGACCTCCCCAAAACGATAGCAGCTTCAGAAGCTCCCTTAAAGCTTCAAAAATCAATTAAACAGACCAAACAATCCAAGGCCTCTTTGGCCATGCAGCAAAAGATCTATTACTTGGATTACATTAGATTAATCTAACCTAATCCATTACACTATTTCAATGAATTTTTCTCAACCTCTCTTTTTAATCTAAATTTGTTTTATTTTACTAGCTAAATACAATGGAAACTCCCCAAATTTACAAGTTTATAATTGTTTAAACTTATTCACTTTAATCAGTGTTTCAACAACCCCATTATCTTGGAGAACCAAATTAGTTCTTTTATCAAATCTCTCCTACATATTCAGTATGACTACTTTTTTCATCACCTTAACTTTTTAGATTAGTATCTCTTGTGACTTAAATGTAAATCTGAATTTAAGAAAATAGGACTATGATCTGCTAACCTAAGTCAGAACTTTTTAACATTTTATTTAATTCCTCCAATAGATAATTTGATTGGAGGTTTAGATGCTTAATAAAGCAATAACTGAGACATGGAACAATTTAGGTACTCATATCTCAACATACTTTAGCTGTGCTGTTAACTAAATTGTATTGACATTTCTTTCATCCTAACAAGTATTCATTCACTTAAGTAAAGCAATAGACTCCTTAAAGACAATGGGTGATGATGATAACTGAAGAACAGTCAACACAAATTTGATCTTTTTGTGTGAATTAGCCAAAGGCATGTCCTTTCTTTCCTATCATCTGGGCTATGAACAAGTTAGGAGCATTTTGAATATTTACCCAATGAAAAAGTAAAGAAAAACAGAAGATCATAATGGTTCTTTTTTTGTGTGTGTAGCTCTGAATTTTATTACTTTTCTATCCAACATTCCAACTTCAACGTGAAATAATCTCTATACTAAAATATATCTCCTCATTACTTGTCAGAGAAAAGAAATTTTGCTGGGCTTTATCAATCCAGGTAAAAATGATGATGGTACAGACTATGTCCTACCTAAGGCATTCTGACGATTTGGACAGAAAAGCCATCTATCATTTTTAACTCAATAATGACACATTATATAATCTAAAAAAAAAAAAAAAAGAAAAATCACTGGCAAGGCTAATTAACCTCTAAATTAACTTTTTGTGGGGTTTCTGGTTTCTATCATTAGAATCCGGTATTCTTATATATTAAATAACATGCAAGTAGTTTTACAGATTACTACAGATAAACTATATGTACAGATACATTTCCTGGTATAAAAATAATTTTATATTAAAAAACAAAACAACTGTAAACTCTTCTATTTTTAAACTATTATGTAAAAGTAATTTAATTGGGACCATGTCTTCAAAACAATCAGAGAAGGTTACAAACATTACATTATTGCTATTCAAATAATTATATGAAACTAAATATGTGAAAAATCTAAGTCCAGTCATGCTTTTCTCCCAAATGGTTCCACTTAATATACACTGGGGTATCAATATTTCTAAAATAAATACAATAAATGTGAATTAATTTCCCCAACATTGTTACTAGATTTCTTTCATATAATAAAGATCAATTATTTTTTTCATTCAAATGATGGGCAAGGTAGGACAGGAGATTATAATGAGCATTACTGGCAATCAGGGTTCGTGAACTCAGCTTTAATTAACAGCTGGAGTAGCCTAAAGAAAATAATGGTAGTGACACCTCTAGACAGTTTCAAAGTAAAATGCTTTCTTGTTCTCTAGAAACACAGGCAGTGCAGTAGTTGAGTATGGCCCTGGAACCAAAGTGTCTGGGTTTAAGGACTGCCCCAGCCACTTTCTAGCTAAGGGACCTTACTCAAAGGACTCCTGAGATTTTTCATTTGAAAAATTTTACCAGCACCTACATCTCACAGAATTCTTTAAGTGACATAATGTATAAAGCTACAGAAAATATTACTTTCGTGGAATGTAGTGTCACATAGTGATGAAGATTATGATTTTATTACTATTAAGTAAATTATTAATAAGTAATATTATTACAATAGCCTTTTTACTGCTAGGAAGACCAGAAGCTAAACTTCTCTACTTTGGCCAAGTAGTATTAGACAAACATTTGGAAGTGAGATGGTCAACATTATAAGTAAGCTTTTAGAGCCTTTTACTGAAGCCAGTCTTCCAAAGTTCATACTTTGTGAAAACACTTAAAATTTCAGGGTATATTACCCCTTAGGGAGTAAACATTTATCTTTAGACTCTGAAAACAATGTCACTCTAAGAGACAATCTCCACAGAAAGTGGGGGATGGAAATGACAACATTAAATATGTAACAGTATGTGTGAAATGCAGTTGCCCACAGATAACATCCATGATAAAAGACAAGGGGTTTACTTGGTTCCCACTTTGTTCACTTAACCTGGCCTAAATGCCCATCTGGAGGAAAAAGGACAGAACTCTTATTCCCACCCTCACTCTCCTGCACTCTTAACTCTTAAAGAAGTATGGTGCAGCAGCCATCTTTGCACATGGAAAGCTATTTTGACTCTTTGCAAATGGGAACAAGATGCTGCCCTATTTATATATGTAGCATTGTCGTGATGAGGGAATAAAAGAGGATGGATGTGGAGAATGGAGAAATTGTATGGCTGTGGCAATAGGATGCTAGAACCTCGACGCACGAGTTGCACACAGGGTGGGACCAGGAAGGGTCTCAAGAGGGAGAACAATAGATCAGAAAGGAGAGGAAATGTATCCTTCTAGGCCTCAGAGTCATGAGTCCAGATTGTACCCAGGGAAATGACAAATTACAATTGCTCCACAAAACCACAAATCTGAGAAGTTTCTATCAGAGACATGGTTGGTGATCCAGATCCCTAGAGACAATTCTGTGTTCGAATCCATGAGGATTAGAGCAACTATAATGATTTGGCCCTTACAGTGACATAAAGGAGAGAACTGGCCTCCCCGATTTTAGCATTTCCCCAGTATGAAACACTCTCAGGGGATACTGTTGTGTATGGAATCCTCAAGGGAAAAGATAAACACACTGGCTGAAAATCACTGTTTTTTAAATATACCTTCACTTTTCTTCTGCATTTGGAATTTATCTTCAGAGTAACTGCTCTTGGGAGATGATTTGGTCCCAACTAGTGTCGAACTTGAGGTGCCTGGTGCATTCTGAGGAAAATTCTTGTAGAATGAAGTTTGCATAAGATTTCTACAGACAGGATTCAAAGACTCTCCTGAATTTAGTGATGAATTCTTGGAATCTTCAGGGAGATTTTCCTCTTTGGGCATGCTCTCTCCCTCAGGAGATAGTAATTCTTCTACAAAGAAAAAGACAAAGGAGATTATCTTTAGATAACCTTCGTACAGCTCAAATACTATTAAAGGGTCAAAAATATCTTCATCTCCAACAACAGTTCACTTAATTCATGTTATACTGAACCACAAACTCCTGACACAAAGTACATGACCATGACTTCCCTCCTCATCATTTATAATAATGGACACTGTCCTCAAAACCAAATTGGTTCTGTGAGGTCACCTATATTTCTCAGGGAAATTTAGTGTCTCTTTCCAGTCTTGCCACTAAAGCTGTGCACTCCTGACAAAATCATCTGTTCTTAGGAATGTAGTTCTTCACAACTATTTCGTTATAATATAATCATATATAACAGTTGGTTTCCAAAATCTGCTTACTTCTTGAGCAGTGAAAATTTTCACTGGAGAAAGGTACTAAGTTTTTCTATAAATCTTTCTAAAAATATTTTAGCAACATAAAATTGAATGGAAAAGGCTGTTACAATTTTTTTTCTTAATCTAGTGAGAAGTAACAGCTGTGCAGGATTTCTGAAGGAAATACAGTGCTGAAGCTGCCAAAGTAATATCCTTATTGCCAAACTTACTTGGGCAAATATACTCCCTACCCCCAACACCATTACGCCAAGAACATACATAAGTGGTAGCAGAGGAATTTTCTTCTAGATCCTGGGGTGTATCACTGCTATTTACCTTTAGAGGCATGCATCTTTGTTTTGAGCAGCTTAGGAGAGACAGGAACACTACAAGGTACAGGTTGCTGAGGAGATCGTTTGATGCTTTTCTTTCCTGTTATTTCCTCTTTCACTGTTTTTATTTTATAAAAAGAAGTGTTATAACTAATTACAGTACTCAATTATTTTCATATCATCAGCATGAAATATGTTTCTATATCATTTGCATACTATAACTTCATCAACAATGTCAATTATTTGAATGTTCAAGAATAACAAGTGCTTACTTTTTCCTACTAAACATTTCCACTAGAATAATATTCAAGAGTACTTCCAGGAATGTCTAAACTTCATTTATTCTGGGGTCATCAGCTCTCTATAAATATTTCAGAAGACAGTGAGGCAACTCATTATAACGTACGTAAAGACCTTGAAAAATTGCTCCTATGTGCAAGAATAGTTAAGGGTTAAGATAAATTAAAGAAAAGATATGGTACAACAGAGGCATTATTTTGTAGACCAATCCTGACTTGGGCTTCTCTTATAACAATGTTAATGCTTATTATTCAACCAAATGCACTTGTACCTAACGGACCACTCTTTCAAGCATGATTCTGAAAATAAAGACACATTATAGGTTAAGTTTATCTCTTATGTGAAATGCTTGGGAACAGAAATGTTTCAGATTTCGGAGTTTTTCGTATTTTGGAATATTTGCATACACTTTACTGGTTAAGCATCACTTATCTGAAAATCTGAAATGCAAAACACTCTGTAATCTGAAACTTCAAGCACCAAGGTGACACTCAAAAAAGTTCTGGACTTTAGAGCACTTTATAGAGTTTTGGATTAGGATATCCAACCAATAACCTGGTTTAACCTCAAACTAAAAGGACCAATAAGGTATAATAGAAATCTAAAGTCTGATAATAGAACTCAAAAGGGAAAAAAGGCTGCCTTGAGGAAGTATGAAAGTCAAACTTCACTGGATTAAAAATTCTGACTAGGGTCTAGGCATGTCTCTCAAAATCGTATGATGAACAACCTTTAGCAATCCAGTTTCTGACTGATTATCAACCAGTCCAGGAGAGCTCTTTAATACTTGAGTTTTATTTTTAATCATGGACCATAAAACCAACAGACAAAATATATTATATTGCACAACAAATACTATAGAATCTATCAATTAATTTAAATATTTAAATTCTAAGAAAAGAGGACTGGGGATATAGCTCAGTGGGAGAGCACTTGCCTAGCATACATGAAGCCTTGGGTTCCATCCCAACCACTGCAAAAAAATAAAATAAAATAAATGAATAAAATTAATAATAATTAAATTCTAAGGAAAAAATAATTTTCCCCTATTAATGATAGAGAAAATTCTAGTACTAACATATTTTTCTATAGATATTTGCTTATCTCTAAATCTTAGCAAAGTTCTAAAAAGTCTATTTTTTAATTTATAATATACTAACGCTTTCATTGTGAAAAGTATATGAAGATTGTGTATTGTCTACTATCTGGAGCTGAAACAAACATAAAATTGACCCTTCTGCTTCTAGATATTATAGTAAGCTAAAGTAAGAAAGTGTTCCTACAGGGATAACTAAGAAAAAGATAAATTTATTTTCAAAGTCATCATAAGGAGGCACTTTCAGGATGACTCATGAAAAACCTTCAAAAATCCATTCCTTAACAAAAACACTGAAAACATCCCAGTTTAACTAACTAGTGAACCATCTCTACCCCTCAGGGCACACCTGGAATGCAGCCTTTGAAGAGCTTCTTTAAAAGCCCTCTGTTCTTCCTTATGGGCAGAACCATAGCCTCTGGGACAGGAGTCCCCTATACTTCCCCTTTGCTAACAAAGCAATAAACCTTATTTTCACTTTTTCTCAAAACTGTGTTCTCCTACCAAATCAGCACTGGGGTAAGAATGGAGTTTTTAATATCAAAATTAATAAAACCTAGCCAAATTAACTTTTAAAACCTCTGGAAATGAAACACCCAAATTCTACGGCATTTTAATTTGCCCTAATATGATCCCAATTACCTCACTTTCCACAATGGTCTTGTAAACCAACAACTTCACAACTACAATAGGTATGAAAACCAGCAGTCTAACAATCACTGGAGAAGGTGTGGAAGGAGACCTCTCCCAACAGGTACAGCCATGAAGACCCATTCACTATCTGTGCACGTGCATGCACAACTGTAAACAACATGGCCTGGTATCTACACACACATGCATGACCCTTTGGACAACGTGATGCCTTCAGTAACCATGTACGCATGTTTACCAAAGGAAAGGCAACACGGCACACTGAGGGCGCATGTGCTAAACTGTGGTGAGCCGCTTCTGCCGTTTCTGCAGACTATGGTCGCCATTACAAGATGGCGCTGGCTCCGCTGTGGTCTGTGACAAACAACTCCTTATTTGGGAGAGTTGGCGCATGGTTTTTCACCACCCTATGAGAAAGCTCCACGTGGCAGCTTCGCATTGGGGCTTGAGATGCTTTATTAAGGCTGGGAGGGGCATCCGAGAGAGAGAAGAAGAAATATCAAGGGCCTGAATAAACTGCTGAAAGAAGATTCCTGAGTTGCGTCTTCCTTGCGGGCAAGGGGTCACGACACTAAACCACTGACACTTGGCGCCTGCGCAAACCTGCAGGACCCCTGTGCGCCTGGGTAGTAGCTCTGTCATAACTTTCTTATGATTTTATATAGAATATCCATATAAGTTAGGCAAAGTGGCTAATATGTAATGTGGGGGTGGGGGTAAAGGGGGGAGAGGGCGCCTATATATAACCAGGCCTTTGGATGCGGATCCAACCCAGTCTGTGCTGGCACAAAACAAACACTGCTTCTTGTTGGATGCCCCTGTAGTCTGTCTCTCTGTGAGCAAATCCTATATTTCTTGGGTTCTAGTGTCTGGGATTTGAAGGTGATCATACCTCCTTTGTCACTAGGGTACAGGCCCCCAGACACTGAGGAATGTGACCTCACCTGGCGCTAGCAGACCAACTGATGAATAAGGGACTAACCCTTCCTGCATGCAGGTGCAAGGACCCTGGGAGCACAAGGGAACTCTGTAGGAACCAGCTCAGGGAGCTCCACCAGACAGGTAGAAACCTGGATTCAAGAGCTAGACCTGCCCTAAGTGGCAAAGGGGAGACTGATCAACTCCAAGAGTTGCCCTAGTAGTGTATTGTGTGAGACAAAACCACAACCAGGCAGCAGGATGGAGACATGAAGTAGGCTAAACCTGGAGTGGGTACAGAGTCCTAATGCACAGGTCCATGGTAATCCTCACACAGCTCATGGAAGTGTCAGGCTCTTCACAAGGTCTATGAGCCTGGGTCAGGTCAGGGATTTATAGGAACCTGCCAATGTTAAGAGGCACCTGAAACCTCTCTCTGCAAGGGGACTGGCCGGAGATGGTTTAAACAATTGCTCACTCTTTTCCTTTTCCCCACTCCTCATGCGTTTGATTGTCATCTGTTAGGGGGAATAAATGAGTGGCGAACAACATAAACTTACTCCTCTTGAGTGTATGATAAAAAATTTCAAAAAGGGATATTCTGAAGATTTTAGAGCTGACTCCCAGAAAACTCCGGACCTTCTGTGAAATAGATTGGCCCTCTTCCAGAGTAGGCTGGCATGCCAAGGGGGTCCCCAGATAAAGAGCTGGTTAGCAAGGTGTTCAGAGTTCTTGTAGGGGACCCTGGGCACACTGACCAGTTTCTTTACATTGATTGCTGGCAAGGCATGGTCCTCTCTTGGCCATGATGGCTAAAGGCTTGACTGGAAGACAACTGTAAAATTATGATGGCCCAGGTAACAGCTCCCTTTTAAAATGCCAACTGGAACCTTGAGAAGCCCATTCTACCTGGGGAGCCAGAGGAGATCCCCCCACCTTAGGAATTCCTGTATTCCCCACTGCTGCTTGCACTACCTGCACCTACTGCAGCTGGAAACACGCCAGAGGATGCTCACACCCCTGCTGAAATCATAAGCAGATTAAGAGGCAAAGTTTGTGGCCTCTGAGGAGGCAACAACCAACAGCCCTGACTGCCACCCTATTCCCTAGTCCACTGGCAGAACGGGACCCCAATTACTGACAACCTGAGAACACCTGGTTTAAAACTGAAAATTAAAGTAAATTCCTGGGCTGATGGTAGAGATTTGAAGATGGCTCAATAGCAACTCCTGAGGCCCTGGCCCCAGCCTTTGTAAAACAGTGACAGACAGCTCTCAAGGCGAGTCTGAGCCCACATTTCTACATTCCCTGGCTCTCTAGTATGTCTCCAGCAGTATGTTAACAATATGAAAAATGTGCCTGGAATAACCCATGTCAGAGACCCACAGCCTTCCCTGGAGTACAAAGTGTTGAAGGGGCTCCATTTAAAAATATAGTTGGACTTCACTGAGTTCCTCAAATATCTAGGGCTATAAACATTTACTGGTCTTCATGTGTACCTTCTTAGGATGGGTAGAGAGGCCTTCCTGACTTGCAGAGAGAAAGCATATGAAGTAGCCTGATCTCTCCTAAAGGAAATCATTCCCTGATTTGGAATCCTATTCACCTTGGAATAGGATAATGGGCTGGCATTCATGCTGAGTTGGGTGCAAGTGGTGGCAAAGGGTTGAAGATCACCTGGAAGTTACATACTGCATATTGTTCCCAGAGCTCCAGGAAGGTGTAGTTAATGAACCAAACTCTATAAAGTTACAACTAAGAAAACTGTGTTAAGAGTCCCACCTGCACTGGGACCAGGTGTTGCCAACTGCTTTAAGAATTAGGTACAGCTCTACTAGAAAGAGAGGGTTCTCCCCTTATGAGATTTTTTATGGATGCCCTCCTCCCATTATAAAGGGTATATGAGGAGTTCTAAAGAAATTGGGCAACATTACTCTGAGACAGTAGGTACAGGCTCTTGGCTCAACCCCATGGATTAGTGAATAGCTACCAGTTGAGCCTGACCACTGATGCCCATCCCTTTAAACCAGGAGATGCTGTTTGGGTAAAGAATGGAACATCCAACCCCTAAAGTCTCTTTGGAGGGGTCAGTTCACTGTCATTTTATCCACCCCTACTTCAGTGAAGGTGGCTGAGGTGGTCCCCTGGATTCA